GAGAGAGAGAGAGAGAGAGAGAGAGAGTTAGGGAAGAGAACCTTACTTAATATACTTGTGTTTACAGTATTTAATGAGAATATTCTTTATATAATTTTATTTATAGATATATATATTTATATAATATATTATTTTATATGTATACCAATAAGTTATGTTGTAATGAATAATATTTTAAATAATTATTATTTAAATTAATTAATACTTTAGTATATACTGTATAATCAATATATAAGTGAATGAATGGTGACATTAGTTGCGATACTTTAATAGAGAATATAATAGCTTTTTGTCTAAAATTAATGTATGAATTGAATTGTTGGCCATTTTATACTGTTTTGTTGTGTTCAAGAAAAAAGTGATTATTAAAAATGAAAAGTAATATATTTTATATAATTTATATAATATATTAATATAAGTATAACTTTTTAATAGTGATTAATAATAAGAGTAGTCATATAAATGATGTAATAATTAATAATAAACTATTAATTTTTATGATAAGTTAGAAATGTATTGAATTTTGTAGTCTTTATGTATTGCCACTGAAATTGCTTTCATTTTGTTTTAAATTAATATATAATAGATATATAAATTTATTGTGTGTTTTAGGCACTGATTTATTGCATCCTTGCGTCAGATATATAAGAGACAGAGTTAGTCGGTGTGACGGTTGCCGCCATATAGTTGGCACCAGTGGTGGCCACCGACCCATTGGTGGCTAACCCACCACTTCCTGACAGTGTTGTGAAAGTACTGAACGGATGATGGCTTCCAGAGTGAGCCGATTGGGCGCCGCCATTGCCCACACCTGAAGCCGCTGCGGCCACAGCGGCCGCCACCGCAGCCGAGCCTAAGGGACCACCGCTTTGATGGCTGTGCGACGGATGGAAAGGAGTGTAGGCGTCAAAGCCATTGGTGGCCGTCGCGTATGGCGGCGGTGGAGGGTATGCAGTGGTCGGGTAGTCGTAGAAATGTGTGGGCGAGAGGGCAGCCGACGGCGGCAACAGTAGACTCGGCGCCGCAGGAATATAGGAGGGCGTACTCGCCGTGTGGTAGACGTAATGGTGCGGAAGGCTAGCAATGCATAGACAAAGACAATTAGTTTGGTTTTAATACAACAATCGCTGACAACACAAGCGATGCAAATATGAATCAATATATTCTTTATGGCTATCATAACGTCGAGTGAATGGCTACTAACTGAATGGCGATAAACTTTATTACACAGTAATTATCGCTTATATATTAAGGCAATGAATGGTTAACTGTTTGGACACATCTATTGTAGTTTCAAATCACTTATTCTAATAATTTCAATACTTTTTGTTATTGAATCCAATTTATAACACATTTTCAAATTGTGTTTATGACTTGACTCTCAATTCCCGGCGATTTCCGCAAACAATTTGGCCATAAATTGTCTTTTCTTCGCTATTTTTTTAAATTAAAACTTATTCTTTGGATTCGAGTTTTGGTTTCGGATTTTCTGCTCATTTATATAGAAAATAAAGTGAAACTCATTTTTGAAAAGTATTATAAATAATATATAAAACAATAACCCAATCAATGCACACAATACACGTGACAACTCATACTATGGCTATGTCTACGGCAATGGTTATGGCATTATCTCAAATGGATCTTTACTTCTGAAACATTAAACACACAATTCTCTCAAAGAGTTTGTTTTCAGTGAAAACTTTTATATTGAGGGACAGCCAGAGTGTCGACCGTCTGTTCCTCTATTATGTCATATATAAAAGCGATAAAACAAAAGCCTAAACAATACTTGTGATCAACTGTCAACTCTTGTATTATCACCCGATTGGCTGTTCCCCTGTTTTATGATATTTTGGAGACACTTATTGTCGAATAGAAAACTTGAGGCAAATCTAAAGGCAAAGGAAATATTTTGTGCGAAAATATTCGTTTAAATTATATCTATTTCTTAAAAACAAAACTAATTTTGTTTAAAAGTTATAAAAGAGATAAACATTATCTAAACTTAGTTTTGAAGTTCACATACATTGAACGAGAGAGAGAGAGAGAGAGAGAGAGAGAGAGAGAGAGAGAGAGAGAACAAGTGAAACATTTGTGCAATCATTTAATGTATTATTTTCAACGATTCTTAAGTATAATGTATTTTTTCTATGATATAATACAGTAGTAGTTTTGATACATAAATATTATTGCTGACAAAAAGCCATACAGTTTTAGAAGTGATGTTTTGGATACAATTGAAAGACAGGCCATACATTCGTATACATTGGTACATATAGTGTACATTATATAGTGTATGGTATGTATGATTGTGAGGAAATGGTGTCCTTTGGCAGTGAGGCATAAACTAATGGCAGAGAACATCAAAAAGTGGAGGAAAGGCTCACAAACTGAGATCGTTTGAGCGGTTAGGAAACGGCAAAACCCCATCAGCTCTTTGTTTGTAGTCATGATATTAAACAATAGCTCATAAGCCATATCTTTAAACATCTTTCCGGACAACAAAACAGTATAAACACAACACAACTAATGCTATAATAATAATGGGAAGAGATTTTCAAATTCTTTCCAATCGATTGACAATCAAATGAGAATTCGTTTAAAAATTGGTGTCTTTCACGCCGTTGTCATCAATGATATCAGTTATTGGATTCTTATTACATCATAAAATACTATACAATACAGTATACCGTAAATAATGGATAACAATATGCGGACTACAACTCAAAATGTGTTTTCATTTCTCCTAATGATGTCAAACAGTACTAACAATAACTAATATCATTCATAATATATTCAAACATAAAACACATTAAACAGACTGAAAAGTGCTGGCAATCCATCATTTATTATTAAACTATTATATTCTATTAAATCAATAAATACTAATTATTAACTCATTTATTAACTATATATCCATTAAATTACACAAATCTGATATATTATTGTTTGAGATTATATATTAAATACAACTTTAAAAATTGTAAAAATATCTAAAATAACAGAATAACGATAAGTAATGAAAACTATTTTTAATTAATTCACTAACATTTCTATCAATAGAGGTTATGAACACTAAAAACAATAAAAATTTATGCCATATTTATAGCGAGAATATATTCTGTAAACGTTTACATTAAACACTACTGCAGTTGTGATGTGTTATGCAGTGCTGTATATGTATTGTTATTTTATATGTTATATAAAAGCTAAAACTTCATAAACATTTCAAATAATAAATTCAACAAAACGATGTCTAAACACACGAATCGCAAACAAACTCACGTTTAATACAGACAACAAAAATTGCAATCATTTTCGCAAAAAAAAACACTAATTATAATGCGATTAAAACAACAGCAAGTGTTTAGATAAATGAAAAAGATATGCAAATAATAATAAAAAGGTTTGTTTTGCATATCTATGCCGTATCTCAATATTTATGTTATTATTATACATGTATTCAATCGGAAACCTTGAGATTCAATCCATTTCACTGACTATTGATTTAACTTTATTTTTATAGAATATTTTATTTTTGTGAATATATTTTTCATGATTTCAAATAAATGAAAGACATGACAGCGATATCAAAAAGCGACCGAAAAAACAGATTTAATAATTTAAAACTAAATCTGAGACAATTTCTCACCAGTTTTTCTGTCATTTATTATAAATATTTTTGCAAATATTCACAAAAACAAAATAAAATGTTTGCTTTTCTTATAATCAAATTATGGCTGAGAGGGAAGGGAAAAGACAGAGACTGAACAAGGATTGCGAGAAAATCGTACGAATTAGCCACAGTTTACGAGAAGCAATTAAATACCGCGCAATGTTTGATAAATAGTAATTTAATAAATTCTCATAATATTAACTCATTCTAAAATATAACCATAAATCCAACAGTGATTTAATGGTATTTGTCAGTATGTTATAATAAATACGGGTAGGGAATAGATACGAATATATAGACTACAAGATTCATATCCGGAATTGCGGTTAGAAATGCTTAAAAAACAAAAGTCACTGAACTATAAGAATGCTGTGTATATCTCATTGAATACACAGTTAACTCCAATCTCAGTCCCAAATCCAACACTAGTCTAAATGCAGGACTTTTTAAATAAATATAAAGTTTTCACAAAATTTAAGTGATTTTTTGGGTTTAAAAAATTTATGACAAAATTGAGAAACAATTTCATTCGTTAGAGAGAGAGAGAGAGAGAGAGAGAGGAGAATTCACACCAAATGTCAAAGACTTTATTTCCGTTTAACATTTTGTTTACATTCTATGAATAATTAGAGATTGAATTGATATATATTTATGTAATTAGAGAGAGAGAGAGAGAGAGAGAGAGAGAGAGAGAGAGAAATAGTAAAAATTCCTTTTGAGAGAAACTGAAAATTAGGCGCTTTTTGAATGGAATGTAGGCTTAGATGTGATATGAGTTGCGATAAATGTTTGCAAAGACAACACACACTCTATGGAAGACTATTTCAATGGCTTTTCATAACCAAAATGTGCTTTAATTGTGATTCTTGTGTCGATTCTCGTTGTAATCACAAAACAACTACAATTGATGTTATGATGCTATTGCGGACAACAAATGATAATGAATACTAATTAATGGTAATCAATGTTATCCCGCACTCGAGAGAGAGAGAGAGAGAGAGAGAGAGAGAGAGAGAGCACAGGAAGGCAGATATGAAATGGAAGCGATTAACGCAAAATAGTGAGAGATATCCCAAAATAATGAACGCAAACGCGATCTTAACTTTTAATGAGTGAAATATAGTATAATTTGAATTATGATTTCAATGTTTGGCTCTAAAATTGACTCTAAAAATGAATCGGTTTTTATAGTCTTGTGAGCCTTTTTAATGGTCTCTTCAATAAACAAGTCGTTTATAAATACCCGTCGTTTAAGACGAAAGGCATTCATTAGTAGGAGTGAAAGGAAAGCGCAAATTAAATTGTAAATCAAACACTATATGCAAAGATATGACACTTAAATCGTCTATTAATTTATAGTTTATGCAAAAATATTTATATATTAAGCGCTCTAATCATGTAATTTGAATATTGCTTCAAACAAATAGCTTCACATCCCATACATCCTTGACATCCCATCCCATGATTCCCAACGCATATCACTTATAATGAGGAACACATAGAAAACATGTACTCTACCGGAGGGCACAGTTATGATCACATATTCTGTGCATCTCTTAATGCTTACATTAATATATTGCACACAAAACTGTTTATACATTTTATTTTATAAAATAACATAAAATAAATGCTTTTATCCTTTAATATAATAAAATTCAATATCACATGAAATGGGATTTGTTTTAATATTGAGTTTATGCAAAGGCTTGACTGAAAGGCCGACTCCCAGTCCTCTCATACAACAAAATAAATGTTATCTATAATTATTACATAAATATATATCAATTCAATCTCTAATTATTCATAGAATGTAAACAAAATGTTAAACGGAAATAAAGTCTTTGACATTTGGTGTGAATTCTCTCTCTCTCTCTCTCTCTCTCTCTCTCTCTCGCTCTCCCACTCATCTCTATATCTATTCATTTTATCTTATATTTATTCATGCTATCCATGAAGTGCTCATTATATCAAAAATAGTCTCCAATAATATTTAGTTCTTCTATGAAAATAGTAAACCGTTTGCAAAACAAGTTTATGTCAAACAGTTTTTCACTCCGTATTTACAGAATATTCCCCAAAATATAAGGCAATACTCGTTAAGAAATGGCTTCACTTGGAAGACAACTGGTTGTGAATGAAATGACAGCTCTTTAACACTAAACGTTATGTCTATCAAAAGTTGTATCGCTTTTCCAATATTGTCAACTCAGAGGCAAATCTCAGACATTTTTTACAATTCCCTNTAATATTTAGTTCTTCTATGAAAATAGTAAACCGTTTGCAAAATAAGTTTATGTCAAACAGTTTTTCACTCCGTATTTACAGAATATTCCCCAAAATATAAGGCAATACTCGTTAAGAAATGGCTTCACTTGGAAGACAACTGGTTGTGAATGAAATGACAGCTCTTTAACACTAAACGTTATGTCTATCAAAAGTTGTATCGCTTTTCCAATATTGTCAACTCAGAGGCAAATCTCAGACATTTTTTACAATTCCCTCTCATTTTCATTCCCAAAGATTTCTTGTCAGGAGAGCAATGATTTGAGTCGGAATTTCCCGCTTCTTCTCATCTGTCACTTCATTTCTATTCAATTCAATTGATTCAATACTTGCGATAAATGAGCATATTTTTCAAACATATATAGCATGTGTGATATTTTTATTATAATATTTATTAGTTATATAACGTTATACTGTATATGAAATATAGTATTATTACTGAGTCGTTGAAGTTTGACTGACATCTTAACAATAAAAATGCTTTATTAATAAATTCTTAACTATTTCTAAGTTATTACATATTTTAACACTAATATATCACTAGTTCTCAAACTAAACTATGATATTATACTTATTATACAATAATAATTTCAATGAATATCACAATAAGACTAATAAAAACATTACTGAATTAATAGGCTTTAACTTTAATGCAATTCAAATTATTCTTTAGTTTATGTCATATATTATCAACAAATTTATCAAAAACGGTTTTGTATTTTTGGATTTGTTGTGCTGTACATACCCTTCCCCTCTTTTCAAATGCCAAATTCACGAAAAGTGATTAAAAACAGAATAACAAAAAACAGCCAAAAGACAAGCATTGACTGCAATGATAGTCAATACAAATCTGTACACCAATTGATGGTTTGCGATAAATAATTCATTGATATTTGTCTCAATTCTGGGCATAAACTTTATTTTAGTGTAAAATAACTCCTTTCGAAAGTAAAAACAACTTTTTTTTAAGATTCACGTAATTTCCTCAATATTTTGTTCAAATATTTATATATTTAATGTTTATATTCGATAAACAAATAATGAAATTGAAAACTTAGGCAATAGTTTTGATCGTAAAGTGATGTATGAATTGGTGAACATTGAAAAGCAAAAAATATTCTCCAAATTATTTCGTAAAGTCTATTGAAATGTAATGTTTGCAGCGATCAGTCATTTTAACTTAAGATAATAATCAAAAACCAACTAATTTTGACACTTATTTTGACAAATAGTGGAAAAACAGTGAAAAGTATTGAAAAATGACTTTTATTGGAGGATATAATACTGTAAGAAATGGATTACGAATAAAGTATATTATATTTTACGATAGTTTTCTCAATACATGTATTGTTTAAATGAAAAGTGCGCTCAATATTCAGGCTTTTTGGTTGGGATCGATATTTGTTCACACATTTAAATGACATCAAACCATATGAACACAAATAGCAGTGAAAACATATAAACAACACACAAAAAACGCATTTTTAAACAAATATAAAAATAACTCACACTTTGTGTTGAAATAAAAATT